GAAGGGTAGACGTGTCAATGCTTTTTCCCATTTTCTTTTTTTTTCCTATCATAATCTTCGTCCTGCCAACGGCTCATCACGATCCGTATTTTGTGTTCTATTGCTTGTTCATGATATCCGTTTCTGAATTAATCTTCTAACTTCATCCTCCCTAAACTTAGAATTGGTGAATCGTAGGCTTCTTGTGACCACACTCCTTACTATCCAAATCTTAATTCCGTATATAACATGCGGATTGTGCAGGGGTAAATTACCGTATTTTCCGGCGTATAAGACGACACCCCCCCAGTTAAAATAGAGATTTTGTTATACTCGCCGTATAAGACTACCCCTTCTTCCGCACACCAAATAAAACTTATTAGAACATCATATTTGATTTCAGCATGGTAATTTTAATTCAAAGTAGCAAAACTGTCACTTATAAACATAAGGCTGAATGTCATCAAACATGTACTGTAAACATTAGTGTAAGTGGATTAAACTCAAAAGCGGGCGGCTGGCACCGCTTTCCCTCCGCCCGCTGTTACACTGCACCGGAAAGCTGTGTGTGTGCAGAAGGTAAGGGGCACAACAAGAGCTCGGAACCATAGTATAATTAGCGATACCTAAACTACACTCGGCGTATAAGACAACGCCCCACTTAGGAGCAGAAATTTATGGTGTGAAAATTCGTCTTACATGCCGGAAAATACGGTAAACTCTTTTTAGATTAATCAATTTAAAACTCAATATTTATTCGTATGCACGATTTGTGTATAACATGCATATATTTCTTATCATTTGAGAAACCTGCTAATCATTTCGCCGAAGGCTTTAGGGTATGATACATCCATCTTTAACACTATACATAATAAAAAAGATAGTAGAAGTTGTTTAATCTTGTTTTCGCTACTCGGTCCTTTTGATAATAAGACTTAGAGTAACTCACCTTATCTGGAGTCCATTGTATGCATCATCATTTCCAGAGTAGGACCGTGGACGTGGTACATTCCCAGACGTTTTGCCGATCGTCAGTGAGTCTCGCCATTCGTAGCACCATATTACAACTTGTCAAAGAGACAAGTCGCGAAAACAAGGTCAAACAACTTTTATACAACGAAAGGAGACTGCGACCACACAAAAAATCACACCATCTTGGTCCTCATACTTTCGATTAAAAAAGATAGTGTGTGCGTGTGCCAACACACAAAAGTTGTGGTTCAACATTGAACCTATTCAAAGCTAGCAGTATCACAACATTTGTTGGCTGGCACACAAGCGACTAGGGCATGGCAAGTCATAGACTTAGTATTAAGGATAGAGACAGGATAGACGAGGCGGCGATTGGAGCTAGTTGGCTGACAGTAGGTTTTACAAGAGACGTGGTCCATGTAGCAAAGGCATAACTATGAGGCTTAAGCCTCTACTCAATCACCCATGTGAAGGTCATTTACGATTTACGCCTCGACTAGCACAGATGGAGCGGCAGGAGTCGAGTTAAATACATGTACCAGGGAGATAGCAGACGGATTCTACGGGGTAAGAGGAAGACTTTGATAGAACCCATGGAAGGACTACGTAATAATATGACAGACTCTGGTCAACATTCCCAGCACAAGGGCGAAGGGGGTGATAACGACAGTGTGGAGTGTGAAGGGTTTTCATGAATGCCGCTTGAAGGAGCACACCACACTACATTAAAAATAAGCACGGTAAAAATAGTGACAGGGAAGGCATGATAGGAGGATATAGTAAATGTGAATAGCCCGGGGCAGAAGGGGAGATACTACAACTGTTTAGCACACATTTGGTCGAAAAATGGGCTTCACTTGTCTCTTTGACAAATAGTAATATGGTGCTACGAATGGCGAGACTCACTGACGATGCCAGCAAAACGTCTAAGAATGTACCACGTCCACAGTCCTACTCTGGAAATGATGATGCATACGATGGACTCCGGACTAGGTGCGTTCCTCTAAGTCTTCATACTAATATGACCAAGTTGCGAAAATAAGGTCAAATAACTTCTATACAACGAAAGGAGACTACGACCACACAAAGGGCCACACCATCTTGGTCTTCATACCTTTGATTAAAAAAGATAGTGTTGATTCGACCCTGTTTTTCCAACTTCGTCGGAGCATCAGGGAATCCTGTGTGCTTTGCTACATTATTCGTCGTCAGCGAGAGGCAGCATCGCTATCACAGAGTTACAACTTGTCAGTGGCATGGACATTTGAATATAAAATTCGTCATAAAGATTGCCATCACTTGTCACTGGTAAGTGCTAGCAATAGCGCTTCTAACTGACGATGTCGGCGAAACCTTAGGGAATGTACCAAGTCAATGGTCCGAAGCTGGAAATCATGAATACTATGACAGAGGACACAGGTACTTTGCACATTCTCCCTGAAACTCCGGCCAAATTGCGAAGACAGGGTCGAACCAATAGTATACGGCTAGAGGAGAATGAGACCAAACAGAAAGCTACACTATACTGATCGGAATATCTACAACAAAAATCTTGCGCACTCACTGTATACTTTGGGTGTATTTGTAATGAGTTACCGAACCATGAGACAATCAAAGTATCGGCCTAACCAACCTTAATTTTCGTTTTAATATCTATGCTCACCCAACTATATTGCAATGAACTTCAAATTGGGTTGCAAGATTTTCCTATCTTTAGAACTAATTTGCACATGAATTTTTTCCTCATATCCGGTGTTTAGGTCAAAATGCATGTTTTTATATACATTCTATACTCAAACATTTTAATAAAAAATTATCCTTTTTTGAATTGTATATCTTTAAACCTCTAGTTCTTGATATACCTTAAGCCTACATCACATCACAAATATAAATACACACACATATATACATATATATATATATATATATATACTTTACTTTCTAGATCCCGGGATCGTTTTCGCCGTCGTTACAATCAAAGAAGGTGATTATTACGTCATTTATCTCTTAACCAATTTAGAGATTACATAAAGTACACATTAATATAACTTATCTTTTAGCTTCACTAGATGGCAAAAGTTGGTGTTCTCGCTTTTTTTTAGTAAACACTTCAGGTCTATTTACTTAAATCATTTATGCTGAAATATTTTTAATCCATAGCCTAGGTTTATTTAAGCTTCAAATATAATTCTTTTACTTGATTTTTGCTCCGGCTTTGAGCATTTCAAAGGGGTTGTGTGATAGCAAAGCGGCGATAAATATCTATCTAAAGCCTTAATTTGATGATGACGATGATGAAATAGAGCTTGAATGCTATAAGGTAGTGAAAAAGAGTGCAATTGTTTTTTATTCGGCGGACTATAGGATTACATTATCTGGTGTAACCAACTTACGAATCCTTTCCACTCGCCTCTTGAAACAAAATGAAAGGTACTCCTACATAAATCTATTAAGAGATGCTTCGAAACTCAGTTTTTCAACATTCTATGGATGTGTTTTTACTGCTACGGTTAGTCTCTCCACATTGCTCTCAAAGATATTCTCATCCAGGATTAACTGCTGTTTTGACCTCGCCTGCAGTCTAGCCTGGATGAAAATACCTTTTGAGGTATTATTAGCCCTTTATCTACGAAATAGGGTGAACATATTTCACATATCTGATTTACTGGTAGTCTCGAATACCTACTCAAAGCAAAGCATAAGTAACGTCGATTGCTATAACAAATATAAGTTTGCTTCATCGACAATCCCACCACATAATGTGATATGGGAAAATGTCTGGCCCTCCTTGACATTTACATCTGCCAAGGGAACTCGTGGCAATGAGGCGTAGTGTTTAACGTGTCGAGATTACACGCTGCATTGTCATGGTTCGACTCCCGCTGGGGGTGTTGATAAGACCTGGAGTCCACCCTGGATGGGAGTGCTTTTTAGGAAAGCAAGGCTATGCGAAATTCATTGGAAACGTCAGCCCTACTTATATAATTGTGGGAAAATTCAACTACCAGTTCTTAATAATCTTATACGAAATAGGATGAATATAACTTACATTTCCTTTTCCTCAGTAATTTCTCATTTGAAGTCGGCATGTGTGAATGTGCATATGTACCGGATTGAAAAATGTGGATGTCTGTTCTATACTCTTCACATATTTATATTTATGTATATATATCATCTACATTAAGCTATGTATATTATTCCCATATGTATTTTTATGCTATAAGCCGTTGTCAGATATCAATTAGGTGCAACATCTAGAGCAAAAAAAGTAAATCCTGTGTCAGTTTAAAGGTTTAATTCGGGCTAAAACAATAAAATGCTTAACTGCCAAGTTGGTGTCGAAAAAATAGCGTCAATAAGAAAATACAAAACGATCTTATTAAAATGTTCCATATTATTGTACTATGCTAATCGAAATGTAGAAACGATGAAATTTGAAATCGCATATCCAACGATCTAGTATTTTTAATGTATTTTCCTATCCCGATGGCAGTGTTAGCTCACTCATTGACAACGATAGTAATGGACAGTTTGTTTGAGTTGATGGAAGGCTTGTTAGTGGCTTTCTCACAACTCTGCGAAAGGCCTCTAAATGTTGCTTAGCTTTATCTTACGAAAGCCTTTATCGTCCAAATTGGACCGCATTTTCGATCTTGCCACAGACCCACCCCATCAACATCCCCAAAGTAATTTAAAATCTTGCGTCTTAAGCGACATCTTTACCATTTCACTGCCTGGCTTCAAGGAAGTCAGCGGACATATGCGAATTTAAGACCTTCCAGTCTTCACATTTATGATGAAACTGCATCCTTCCGAAACTAATTATCCTTTTATTTGGTAAAATCTAATTACGTTTATCATGATTTATTTTACTTCACTTGGATATTATGCTCCATTAATTTCACATCTTTACATCGATATTCGTGATCGTGCATATATATATATATATCGAAAGTGTGCATAATATATTAATTGTATTTAATTGTATACATTTAAGTCACTCCAGCTACCGACGTAGTCCCCCTTTCATTTCCCGACGCCGCTTCCTTATGGAGAGACGTCGTTCCACTCCGCGCAATTCTCGGCCTCCCCGCGGGCCCTCTAATGGTGCTTCTCGTCCTAGTCGGCCTCTCCCTGCTTCTCACACATCCATTGCCCCACATCCCGTTCCACCACCTTCGCATCAGTCTGGCCACCGAGTGGGTCCAGGAAACTTCATATCTGCTGTCTCCGCTTCTCCTTCCTTCTCGAAATCATCTCCTTCCGTCCCGATAGCCTGCTACGATACTGGTCCCCGGGCATTCTCCGGTTTTGCTGACACGGCTGCCACGGGCAGCCGAAGCCATCAGCTTACTAATAAGACTGATTCGGCATCAGCCATATCGGCGGCTGTTGGAGCGGTCCCTAGCCGATTCGCGGGGTTTTCCTCACGTCGTTTCCATGTTTCTCCTCAGCGACCGAATTTTGGTCTTGATCTTGAGGAGCTTGGGTCTGGCCGTCGCAGCCGCGGCAGCCCAGGGGCCCATCGGCGACCTTTGATAACTTCTGTTCAAGGAGGAGATATTGGGCATGAGGATTACTTCAAATATGAAAGTCTTACTGCGGCAGAACGTGGCTATGAGTCAGCCAACATGCTGGTTAGCCTAATCTCCTTTTACAGTTCACAAAAGTACCTTGTATATAATTAAATAAAGTTTATATTTTTGATTAGCGAGATGTCTTGTAGATGCGAATATCAATATTATGTAGCATTTTACATGACTTTAGTCCTCCGTCCTATAGACTTAGTTTGGATCTCGTTTTCCAAGCCATAATATTCATTGGAAGACTTCCGAAAAAGTACTTAAATCTATCTCCGTTATAACAAACTTTACATTTTTCGTAGAGACTGTACATTCTTGAATGTTTAAACAACCCGTCAAGCTTAAGTCTTTGTACAACAGCTTCCTTACGTTTCTTTAGCTTATTTATTATCGTATGTTCTCGGTGATTTTTTGTAATATTTTTCATTTGTAATGTGAGGCGGATTTATAAAAAGTGGTTGTGGTCTTCTAGCATTATTTCTCTTAGCGTCAGCGCACTCCATACATCAAAGTTTTGGGCTAAGGTCATATTAATTTACGAAAATACCCATAAAAGTTTTCATTTTCTCAGTGGTCGCATCTAGGCAACTTTTCAGCTTTCGTATAAAGTGCGTCCATGATAAATCAGTACTTGTCGAAAGGAATTTCGGCGGGGCCTTCCCTACGGACTTTGTTATACGCACTTTCTTACGCTCTATATTTGGTCAACATCCTCTTCATTTCTATTCTGCACACCAAAGGGATGGTCAATTAGGGTCTAACGATCTCTTAAGCGTTTAAGTAAGCTGAATTAGACCAAGCGTCTAATCGATTTTTAGTAACTGAGGTGGTCGAAGAGATAAGAAAAAGTATGCGTAAATGGTCTTTGAAAAATCGTTTTAACAGAGGTATCGGTTGTATAAAGTATTTTTATATATCGAAAAGTATTTTGCTCCTCATAGTATAATGTTGTTGGAGGAACTTTCATTCCGTTTAAAGAGGCGAGTGGAAAGAATTCGTTGACTGGCCTCACCTGAAGCCGAAAGGTGAGCTGTAGCTGTGGATTTGCGTGAATAAGTCTGGCTCACTGTTTCGCGATCCAGATCAACCATTGCTGAGCTTTCATTCGTCATGTGATGAATATTGTCAGGATAGGGTACCGTGCTTTATGACAATTTATCAAATATGAAGACAAGGAAGGTGGTCTGTTTCCATTCTACATACTTTTTAATATATAGCTCAATTAAATTCGCCAATATAATTATTGACTCTAACCTGAATTTGTGCTCCTCAAAATATTAATTCCATATCTTTGCTTACAGGGACGTTAGTGCGCATCCACTCTACATTAAAACGTACAAGCATCTCCCAACTTTATCATCTGCTCGACTAACAGAACGTATTCATAGGAATCCCTTATTGGAACCTGTAAAGTTTTAAAGGCTTGCTTTATTTGTTGGTGGTTGTTTTGTGCATCACGCTGCCCATATCATTAACAATAATTTTTAGTGAAACCAATACCTTATGCATTTGGGCATTCAGGATTCTAGCATCATGTTGAATTATGTTTATTTTTCACTTAACCAATTCCCCGTTTTATACACAACCCCTGAGTCTAGACTTCAGGGTTTATGTTAGGCCTTACCCTATCACCTAGTGCTTGTATTATCTTTTCTACATAATTCAACTTACTTATCGACAACTGCTCCTCCCTTCTCTACCATTAACACT